ATATGATTATCACAAAAATTCTTTTACGTGATAAAATATATAACTTTTTAAAATTACATTTTTAGTCCCTCACCTTTCAAAGCTTATACTTTAGCCATCAAACTTTTAAAACTTACATTTTAGTCACTAACCAAAATTTGGGTTATTACATTATTAAATTCATGTTTTACCTTCTTTTTGTTGGTTCACCACTGTTCGCCCTTCCTTTAGTGGGTTGCTTTCATCTTGAAGCTAGTGAAGCAAAGGAAAACCCCACCAAATCGTAGTGGTGACCGACAACAATGGGAGAGACTTTAGGGTTTGAGTATATAGGACTAAAATTAAGGTTTTTAAAGTTTTAATGTTTTTTATTAAAAATATTTTTATTCTTTTATTTTTAATTTTTTTATTTTTTTAAAAATCAAAATTATCATAATGTGACATATGTCATTTAACGGAGTTTTTTAACGATGGTTATAGTCCAGACACCTAAAGTGTAACATTTGTAACGTTAGACACATAAATGAATCAAAAAAAAAATTAAACTATCTATTTTTAAAAAAATAGTTTAAGCACTGATTTTATAATTAAGCCTTCCTAATAATATTAGTTTCTCGTGCAATTTTTAACTTTAGTGATTGACGTAATGATAATATTTTTTCTCGCGAGTCTATGAATATCTAAAAACTGAATTCACAATTTTATCTTAAAATATGTTTTTGTTCTTTTATATAAATTATTCGACTGTCATTATTTAAATTTAATTGTATTATTAATTAAATATTTTTTTATAAAAAATTAAATTCAAAATTGGCTGATTGAATATTGATTACGAAGTCAAATATTTGAATCTGACTTTGATTTACAAAATTAAAAACAAGTTTGTTTCTAATGGTATTCAAGTCATGGATATCAAACTTTAGCATTTTAACATTTGAAATTCATATACTTGATATATAGTTTAAAATTTTGAATTTAAATTTTTATATAAAATTAAATTGCTATGATTTAGGAAATATATTGTACCAGTTATAAAAGAAGAAAATGGCATTTTATAATTGGCTGACTGAAGTGAATTATTTTATTATAGTCGTTAATTGACATTCTATCTTTGTTACCTTATATTTCTTAAGTCATGAGTTTTAGATCTACGAAAAATATTTTTATTCTTTCCTCTAAAGTCACCCCTTCTTTTACTCTCTATGTAAGATTAGAATTAAATTTAGAATTTATTAAAAAAAATATCCAATTCCTCAAATAATGAAGCTAGGGAGGAAAAGGAATTATTAAAAAATTAAAAGTCTATTTCAATAGTCAAAAGCCAGACATATGAAGAGTATAATAAAAGCTCACAATTTAACTAGGGTAAACTACATCAAATATAATCTAGCTTTAAATTAATTTAGTTGTAGTTTTAAATTTTAGATCATTTTTTTAATTAATCAAAGATATTCGATCTATTGACCAACTAATCCAAATCAGATATTGTAGAGGCAAGGGTGACCCTCCCAATCCAGTTTGCTCCATTCGTAAACGCCAAGGTTCGAACCCCTGACTTTACTTAAGGGATAACACTTAATCGTTAATTCATTAATAATCCAATAACATGATAATTTTGATATTAATATGATACTAATGTTGAAGTTAGAAAAATAATTTTCTATTTCGTCTCATCATCTTTTCCATCAAAGTTAAGGTTTTTTTTTCATTTAATTTTATCCGTTATTAAAAATTGTCATTCTCAAATGTCTTTTACGATCACCTTATACACTAATAAACTCATCTCATCATCTGTTATTTTATTAATTTAGATTTCTGGAGATTTCAAGGCTTTCTTGGATTTGAATAGTTTGTTGTGTTTGCTCAAAATTTTGAATGATGAGAGACATTATTTCGAGAATATGAATAGCATAGCTCGAAATTAGACTAATTGAACGATTGCACGTGGGAGACTAGAGTATTAGAACGTCAAATATTTAGATAGATTTTCATTGATTTTGAGTGGTTTCTTCAAAAACCAATTTAAGGAGGAGATGAAGGAAATGAAAATATTTTGATGCCGATCTTACTTTGAATTATAATTAATAATAGGTACCAATTGATCGACAACAATAACGTGACCAAAATGATATGTAGACTAAAACTCGATGTCTAAAAATAAAATATTTTAAAATCTAATGATAAAACTAATAAACAAACTAAAATTTATAAAAAAAAACGAATACACCATCATGCTATTTAAGACATACCAATAATTATATTGAAATCACAACTAAAATTTAATATTAAAATTATTTTAAATAATAATAATAAAAAAACTGATGGCTTTGACCATTCTTTAATAAAATAAAAAAACAATTTAATATTATAAAAAGATAAAATAACAAAGGTTCTCCGCTTTTAAGTAAGAAATTATCCTGCTCTGTTAGAAATAAAAAAAAATCTTGTGCGCATCCATTTGGTTTCTTCTGAGATCCAGAGATGGCTGGAGGGGGTGTTAATAGGAAAATATCAGCTGCATCAGCAAGAGCTCACACTAGAAAAGCAAAGCAAACCACTTCCTTTAACCTACCTTCAGGTGATTTTTTCTTTCTTTTAAAACAAAAAGCTTTAAAAAGATCTAACCTTTATTTGACCTGATTTGGATTACCAACCTTGTAGTAGAATTCCCATTTCTTTTAAAATCTGGGTCACTTTGTTTCTCTGCTTTTGTTCTTTGAAAGCATAAGAAAGTTTGGATTTTGGATCTTAGGTTATATTCTGTTCTTGCATATTCTTGAAATATCGGTTCATTCTTTTGATGTGAATTTTTTTGTAATGAATTCTTTGTTACCGCATTGTGTCTTTGTGTTAAGAGTTGAATTTCTAGCTTAGCTTGATGCTTTCAATAAATTAATGGTGTAAACGGGAGTCGATTGGTCCATTATTTTTAAATCGAAGAAAAGACGACTTACTGTTTAACTTTTTATGCGTGGAAAGACTGGTCCCATATTTTGACCATGATTATTTATGACATTGGATGACTAAATAATTTTAACTTTGAATTCCAGGTTTATTCACCAAGATACTGTTGGTGTTGTCTGTGGGAGCTTTGGCATGGGCTTTTCAAGCCATTAATCCACCACCACCGAAAATATGCGGCTCTCCTGATGGTCCACCTGTCACAGCATCGAGAATAAAGCTGAGGGATGGGCGGCATTTGGCCTACCAAGAGCGTGGAGTTCCACGAGATGCAGCAAAGTATAAAATCGTCGAAGTCCATGGATTTTATTCGTGTAGGTTTGATACTAGTAATCTCTCACAGGTATTTGTTTCTTGTGATCGTTTAAGCTTTCAGTTATAACATGGTTGGACCGAACGTAGTTTGACTTTGTTGTCGTTTCTACTTTCGACCAGGAACTCGTTGAACGATTAGGGGTCTACATTGTGTCTTTCGACAGACCAGGTTATGGAGAAAGTGACCCTAATCCGACAAAGACGGTAAAGAGTATAGCTTTGGATATAGAAGAGCTTGCGGATCAATTGAGACTAGGATCCAAGTTTTATGTAATTGGATTTTCTATGGGAGGGGAGGTGATTTGGAGCTGCCTCAAGTACATCCCTCACAGGTATTCCTTTTGCCGAATGCAGCCAAGAGATTGCATTTACTACTTGTGTTTTTGACTTCTGTGTTTGCAACTCCAACAGGTTAGCAGGGGCGACATTGATAGCTCCAGTAATCAACTACTGGTGGTCTGGTTTACCTACCAATTTAACGAACCAAGCATATCTGCAACAATTACTGCAGGACCAATGGGCACTTCGTGTGTCTCACTATGCTCCCTGGCTTACCTACTGGTGGAACACCCAGAAATGGTTCCCTGGTTCTAGCGTTATCGCCACCAGTATTGATAATTTTTCTAGTGAGGACATAAAGCTCTTGATGAAGATCCCTATGAAGAATCTGGTATGTATCTCTCGACCAGAAAATAATTTCAATTTTTTATTGTCTTAGCAGTTTAATCCTGTTGACTAGTTAAGCTGTGATTTGTTGTATTTGGTGATTTAGACATTGGATTCTGTTGGCATTGTAAAGAGTTCATGGTAGTTAACTTTTGTGGATTGCTGCAATCGTAATATCGTCTGTCATTTCTTTAGGCATACTCGAAACAACAGGGTGAATATGAGTCCCTGCATCGGGACATGATAATCGGATTTCAGTTCCATGAAACTTTCCTGGCGCTGGACATATGCTTCCACTCTCGGATGTGATATCGGATAACATAGTAAAGGCACTTTTGGTCGGAGAGTAGTAGTCTGCGCTGCTTATAGGTCTCCACACTTATCCCAGTATCCCTTGTCACAACCAAACTTGATGTCTGCAACATTTTAAGCGTGTTTGAGTCGAGTCTCGGTTGTGAATCTCGGGTATGGGCCGAGTGGACGGACTGTGACACCTGCATATGTATTTGTGAAACATTGATTTTCCTTTTTGGGTGATTTTTGATTTTATGATAGCATTACGTTGCTTTGCTGCTTTTGATTTTGTAAGCTAGGAAACAATACATCTGGTTGATTGCCTTATCATGCATTCCTTAGTCTTATTTTTAAAAAAATAAATAAATTTTATTGTACTGAAATGTAAAATGCTAGTTTTCGTAATTTTCCTCGTCTTTTTTCTTATTTACATATAATCTTTCATATTTGCTCCTTTTGCACAATTTAAACGTTTTATAAAATGTTAATAAATATTTTTGATAGAATTAATTAATTCAAATTACATATTAAAAAATATTGTGATATAGTTGTTTTAATCCAATAATATTAGAATTAAAATATTCAATACTGTTTAAGCAAATAAATACTAGAGTTCGAATTGACTGATTAAATCCAATAAGATGTGGGTGCATTGTTAATAAATTAAAAAAATTAGTCTGTGTTGACAAAATTTAGTAAAAGGGAAAGGGAAAAGTAACAATTGGGCCGTTGTCAAATCCATATCATTCGGTTCGACCCGATAGGCAGTGTTGAAGGTTTAACAGTCAGTCACAGAGCAAAATTCATCTCTTCGTCTACGTCATCTCTGCAAACCCTAATCGCAGATCCCAGCAAAAGAGATTCCCTCTACGTTAGCCAACTTTCATGGATTACGCGTCTAGGAGAAGAGGTCCAGGAGGCCTTTTTGAAGGCCTTTACAGAGTCATAATGCGACGTAACTCCGTCTACGTTACCTTCGTCATCGCTGGCGCTTTCCTCGGCGAACGGGTGAATTTTCAACTCCTTTCTGCTTTGAATCTCTATCGTTTCCAATTTCGATCCGTCGTTTCTATTAAATTTTCTTGTTGAATTTAGGAATACAAGTTAGTTTTTTTTTAATTTACTGGTTGGAATTTTATTGGTCTTAGGATTGTTAAATAAATTTGATTATTTGGTTTTTTTTTTGTTGGAAATTCTGAGTTTCTAATAATATTTAAAATTAGCTGCTGTTTACTAATTGGAATATTATAAGCCGAGGATTGTTAATTTCCATTGATTATTTGGCTTTTTGATTGTAAATTCTGAGTTTCTATTAAATTAGTAATGTTAGAAATTAGCTGCTGTTTATTGATGGGAATATTTTTCTTATGAGGAATGTTTATTTTCATAGATTATTTGGTTTTTTAATTGTAAATGATAGTAATGTTTAAAGTTAGATGTTGTTTTTGAGTTTTATTCTAATGAAAATGAATGGCAAAGATTCTTACTATAATTGACCCGAATTTTGCAGGCTGTGGATTATGGAGTTCATAGGCTCTGGGAGTACAACAATGTTGGGGTAAAATTTCTCTTCTCTGGGATATCAGTTCTGCATAATTAGGTCCTAGGCAGTTTATTTATGCCTGGCTTGTTTGAAATACTAGTCCCAAATTTAACAACCAATCTATTAACTTACACAATGGTTTGTATTTGATTGCATTGTGGATGGGTAATTCCTACTCTCTGGTACAAGTTTAAACCTTTATACCAGTTAAGAAGGCCTGGATTGTGGCTCTTTTATTTGGGCTCATTCCGGTTTCAGAAATATATAAGTGCTCTTAATACCAGTCTTTTTATGATTTTCTTTAGCCTGTTACATTCAGTTTTGAATTTTCAAATACCTTTACCCTTTTAAGGTAGATGTTGATTTTTGTTCAATAACAACCATTATTAACTTCCATAACTCCATTAATTTAGCTTGCTATTAGATGCTTGAAAACTGTGTTTAGAAACAGTTTGGAACTGTGGGAATATGCCTTACCGCACTTAAATTGTTTGTGATTGACTTTCTGGAAAAAAGGATCTGTAAGTATCGTACTTTCCTTGTGAACTCAACTATTGCGAACACTTTGATTCTTATAGTATGGATTTGGTTAGCATGTCCAACTCTACACCCTCAAGAATTGTTGCATAATGGCTCGACAAATGCATGTTTTCCAATCGTTGTCTGCTACAATCAGTTGTTTGCACGATGACTCAACAACTAACGTGTATACTTGATTTCATTGTTATACAACAGAAACGGTACGAAGACATTCCGGTGCTAGGACAGAGGCAATCAGAGGAATGAAATCATCATTCTGTTTCTGGGTATTTTTAAGTTGTTTTTGAGAATTGGTCTGAGCATATGCCTGTTAAGTATCAATGCTCATAGTTGAAATAAAATGTTATATTTTTTTGTTCTCTAAACCATGGGTTGGTCGAGTAGTCATTGGAGAATTTTGGGTGGCTACAATGTATGCCTACTGATCTATTTCATTCATCACCCTGCTATTTGTGATTGTTGCAACTTTATTATTTTCTGCCCATATTTTCATTCATATTAAATTTGGTAACATGTTAATACGATAATAAAGTATCAATTCGAGAATAAAGACCAAAAGAGTAACCAAACTCGTTAGCATAACCATGAGTTTCCTTGCTAACAGATGATCAGCAAGGCTTCATTACATTATGATATTCATCGCAAATCCGGGTAACAACAAACTAGGAGATCGAAGTATGCTTTTTATTTTTTCATCCAAATAAATGCCATGACGAAAAAATCTCATAGAGAATTCATTCGGCCAACCTAAGATCTTCAACCGAACTGATAGTATGAGTATTGTACTCGAAAGATCTACAGTTTCACCATGAATGAACTTTTACAACTGCACCCTCCAACTGCACTGGGGTTTGTTGTCACCTGCACAAGAAACCGGAACTCAGAGGCTGAACCCTATCTTATGGCATACAAGGTAAAATGCAAGCGAAGCCATGTTTTAAGAAAAGCAACAACGTAGAACACTACTAAACTGTGTCTGCTCATTACATTGTTTGTGTACGATACAAATGAGATCAAGGTGAAAACAAGCAGAATATCATTCAGTATGGTGTATTGACACTAATGCAGTGGACTTGTAAAACCACTCGACTTCGTATATGGTTCATAATCATTTGCACCGTCTGATTACAACCAATGACAAATAATTCAGTTTTCATATACCTTAGAATTGATCAAGGAACATTTTCAGGAGTGTGAATGATTTCATGTATGCGTCTACAGATCACGCCTGAAGGATCGATACATAGGGCCTATATTATCTCGACAATACCTACAATTTAATTCAAATCTGATTTTTTTAATAACTAAAAGTCTATTTAACGAATGTTGGAAACATAAAACTTCAAGGTCGTAGCTAAACCACAAATGTAATATCACACTGAAGCAAAAATGCGAGGGAAAGTTGACAAGCCAAGAGGCTATATGGAATTTATCTAGGAAATCGTCTAATGGTTATATAAATGAAATAATGAATAATCACCTACAATGAGCTAAAAGCACGCCTAGAGGAATGCATGTAATGTTTCAAATCATATGAGAAATTAGGGATACCAGTTTCTGGTACAGAACAAGAAAGGGTTATTATTTCATCTTACCAAACTTGACGAAAATATGTCCGCGCTTCCTAATACAACTTTTTTAAAGACAAATCTAGTCACAACACTGTTCATCTAGTCACATGGAGTACCGTTCAGGGACATTTCTTATCTCTCTTTGGGCTTAGTCTCGGAGCTAACATAAAGTTAAACCAGGACAAAACACGTAATCGATTTGGTATTGCCAAAAGAATATAGAACTGCATCAATTTTTTACATTTAACATTTCTCATACAACCTTTATGAAGTATATTTGCATCTAATCTAAGTTTCTAGTTAGTTACGATTAAAGCAAGCAATATTCAGCAATCTATTTAGGAAATACCATAACGAATCACTTAGCTAGAGGGAAGCTACTTATGTCCTAGGATTTAAGACAACATCAATCGATTCATTTATGCACAGAACAAGATAACACAGCTTACCACAAATGCAGAACGAATTAACTCCTCAACATAATCGACTGTTGCTCCTTTTACAAAATCATAGGAAATATCATCAACTACCAACTTTACTCCTTCCCTTACAAAAGCTCTGCAAATAAGATTCGATACAAGAGAAAAAATAAAGGTCAAAGAAGTATGAAGAGAATAAGAAATTTACTCCTCGTAAAACCAAAACGAAAGTAAATAAAGAAACCTGTCATCTGGGTTTGTTTTGTCATCCAAATCAAACACGTACTGAAACCCCGAACATCCTCCGGTTTCAACACTCAGCCGAAGCATCTTATTGTCAGAAGATTGCAGTTCTTTCATTCTCTGTAAGCCAAACCGAACGTCAGTGAAAAAATGAATAAAACATGTAGATTTTCTAAGCAATTGGGAAACATAATCCAAGAAAACCCAGCAAGGTTGTTCACACAAATTTCGCTGCAATGTAAAACAAGTTATAGGTCTACAATATCCCCCTAAATTTCCAAAAGTATGCAATTTTAACAAGTTAAAAGTTAGAACCTTGCAGAAAAGTTATTCTTTTGCAATATATTTTGGTATCAATTTATATAACAAATATCATATAACTTTAGATGAAAGGGGGGAAATGGGGTTTGTGAGGGAAAGTGCAGAAAGCAAAATTATGAATAAGAAAGAAATTGAATGAAATTTTCAATTTGTTTTGATCCAAATGCTCTCATAAGTTACATATTACACAATAAGAAATTAACATAATCCAAAAGGTTCTATCTTTTCCTGCACTTTCTCAGCATCCAAACGCAAACGCAGTCCCCAATTAAATTACAAGACACTCTTAAAACAAATTGAAATGAAAAACCCAACAAAGCAATACTAGCAAAAATAAAAGAAATCCCATAAACAATAGATACAGAAATAAAAACAAACGAATCAAGTAAGAAAGATTCAGAAGATAATATCAACCCTATACAGGAAAAAAACTGTTTTTCATTAATTTTACCTTGATGCAACTATCAGTCATATGAACTGCATCGAGAGAAGGGGATTCAAAAGATTCAGAAGAAGATTCATGAAGAGCTGAAGAAGAGGAAGAAAAAGAAGAGCTCAGAAGCTTGTGGTTTTGCTTGATTCGAGCTATGAAAAATGGAGAGATGCGTAGAGGCAATGATTTCGACATGGGAATTGGATTAAGCGTTCACAGTATGTTTCTCATGGCTTTAAAGCTCCTATCTTTTGGTTCCTTAAATGGGGTTTTGCGCAAACGAGCAAAACGGCTTGTGACGACCACCCGAACTCACGTGTCGTATTTTCTTACAAGCATTAGACCTCTCAATGACTCGTCAAAATATATATACCTCTCAATTATGCTCCAAATCCTCTATAAAAGAACCATGATTTAGATCTAAAAGGTTAATCTAATTAATTTAATTTTGGATTCAATTTAATAATAAACATAACATTTATTAAAGTAATGTTTTTTAAAACATTTAATTAAAGTAATGTTACAAATAGGTCAATATATTATTAAATATTAAATTAAATAATGATGTGATCAAATATAATAATAGTTGTAGTCTATAAAACTTATATAATTTATCTATTTAGTTGTAATATGAAATAATTCAATTAGTTCAACCTTTTATATTTAAAAGTTTTATAATTTTAATATTTATTTTTCTCTAAAAAAGATTATATTACCAATTACCGTGTCTGTTAGCAGAAATTTGGAGCTTGAAAAGGGAACTTACCGTAGCTAAAGATCTGAATCAAAAAAATCTGATCGTTGAAATGGATTCGAAGGAGGCTCTAGATGCCCTGCAAGAGGAAGAACACGAGCAACCCCAAATCAGATCTATGATAGAGGGGTGCAGTAAATTGGTAAAAGAAATTGGAGTGAAGGAGATAGGTTCAAGGAAATAAGTATGTCGGTGATGATCATGTTATATGTGTGATAGAAGATGAAACATCTAGTAAGATTATAGCTTCAGGGAGTGTTTTTATCGAGAAGAAGTTCATAAGGAAGTGTGGTAAAGTGGGCACATAGAAGATGTGGTGGTTGATGCCGGTGCTCGAGGGTTGCAACTGGGGAAGAAAATTGTAGGTTTTCTTGCGGATCATGCTCGTTCCATGGGTTGTTATAAGGTTATTTTGGATTGCAGCAATGAGAACAAGGCGTTATATGAGAAATGTGGCTTTAAGCACAAGGAGATTCAGATGGTTAAGTATTTTGTTTGAATGTAATGTTTTGCTGCTTCTGATGTTGAGTTCAATCATCAATGCCATATTTCTTTAAATATATTAACCTTCTCATCTTGTGAACTATCGCGGCTCACATACGATAATGTGACAAATCAATTCTGTCATTAATATCCTTCTTTTGGTTAAATGTATATTAATCCACAAATAAAACTAAGAACAATAAAGGCTTATCTATGAATTAAAGGAGCATAAAGAGTTCCACAACCATTTTGTCTAAATTAAGACTCAAGATCAAAATCCATTCAGGAACTATAAATGTGAAACAACAGAACGGGGCAACGCAAACCCGAATCTTATCAGAAAAATGTTTCAAAAACAAAAGAGAACTCCTAGCGTCAAAAGAACAGGAAATAGATACGAAGCGAAAGATCACAGCCTTCTTCCACGTCTGCCACCCTTTCTGCGGGTACTGTCAGTGGGAATGGGAGTAACATCCTCTGAGGTGAAGAAAAAGTTAGATTGTCAGTTTACAGAGTGTTGAAGTAAGTAAATGGAACCAATGAAATTGAACCCAGAGGATGAAAGATTTGTACCTATGCGTGCTGACTGGGCACCAGGACCTGGTGTCTTGGTCTTGTTACCTCCAGTAGCTCGGAGCTTTATGTGAAGGGCTGTAATACCCAACTCCTACAGATAACGTTCACGAACAAAAATAAGTTCAAGGCATGGAACTAAGTGGCACAAAATTCAATTAGGTAAGCAATAACAACCTTGCAGCGTTGGGAAACATCTTGTGCTGCAAGCATGGCTGCATAAGGGGAAGTCTCGTCCCTATCAGTTTTCACCTTCATTCCACCTATGTAAAATTCCGGGATTGGGCTATAAAAATATTAAAAATACTCTTCATAGAAACAACTTTGATAACGGACACGAACATCAGTGCACAGAGCAATGTTTGATTAACACATTATTAATTATAATAGCTTGAAAGATCTAGCTCTGGCATTTGAACAAATAGAACAAACTAAAACAGCTATAAAAATTGGGCGATGGCAAAAGAACCATTTTTGAAAGATCACCACAAACCATACCGGTGATGCGAACCATTGATTCCCTTCCAGACAAATCCGTCACATGCTGCAATCGCAATCAATGACATCATTTTAATAGGAACGAACTACTAGAAAATAAAACCAATATAAAACAGAAAAGCCAAGAATGTTATCACTTACTATGAATGTGTCGTTAAAAGAAGCAAAAATGTGAGCCACCCCAAAAACATACTCGCCTTCTCGAACAGCAGGTGCGATTTCGACTCCCTTTCCAACCAATAAAATCATTTGAAAGTCTCGGGTCTGGTTCCTTCACCGCATCAATTTGGAGTAAAATCTGTTGAGGGAGAACACGATCAAATAAATGCCAACTCCACCCTCCGCTATTATCAACCACAGCAACTAAAGGCAAGTGAGGCATCTCCTTCCGTATTTCTGGATCAACGAAATCAATGAGGGGACCAATATCATCCAGCCATGCGTCATACCAGAAGTCGATCTCCGTTCCCGAACCAACAGTCCAAATCAGACTAGCTCGGAATTCACTCCAGATTAGACAAAGCCCTCTCCAAAGCCGAGAACAATTCAAATTACGTAACTGTGATGGCACCCTATCAAAACAATTATGTTTCGTCCTGAGAAGACGAACCCAGAGGGCATCGGAATTCGAAACCAATTGAAACACAATTTTCATTAGGAAAGCGTCATTAACCTTCTTAATGCTTCGGAATCCCAGCCCACCATTAGCAACTGGTTTACAAAACATTCTCCCATTTCACTAAGTGCATACCACCCTTATTAGTCGACAGCCCCATACAAAACGACGAATCAAACGCTCAATACGTAAACAGGTCTTCTTGGGTAAAATCGCCGTCTGAAGAGTGTAAACATTCTCCTCCTTGGGCTCCCTAACCTTTCTCCTCGACTACAGAATACCACAAATCACAGAAATGTCACCTAAATCTGCCTTGAACTAACAAAAACACAAATAAAAAAAAAAGATCCTATGAATCTAAATAAACAACATTGACAACAAATACAACGTTTAAATCTAATCTACTTAGTAAATGATTCCAATAAGAAATTTCCCTTTCCAAATACTAAAAGAGAAAGCTTTTCAAATTTCCAGATTTTAGCTTCAGTTCTTTTGTATTTACAGTTAGTATGTAAAATTCCACTCTTTCAAATTTGTATTTTCTAAACCCAAATCCTATACTTTCATTTTTCTCAGATGCAAACAAAATATAGCTTGACGTTGAGAGAAAAGATTACCATGGCTTCAGGCGAAATGCAAGAGAGCTGTCAAACTAGGGCTTTTGGTGAGCGATTCAGAGTATGACAGTTTAGTTTTGTATTTTAGATTATCAGTTACAGGTTTTTATAGCTAGGGTTGTGATAGCCTTGAGAGTAAATGACGAAAAGGACCTTGAATTAGATTAACTTGCTCAAATTATCATTTTGGTCCTTCCAGTTTAGTTTTGTATTTTAGATTCTTTATAAACCAATATATGATTTATTGACGGGAAAAATCATTTTGAATACTATGATGATTTATTAGTAAGACGACTCTCATTATCTATTTTTTGTGTCAATGATATTATTTTATTAATGAAAAATCATACACTAAGAGACATCAGTGCAAGTCTCATTAAAAATCTAATGGAGGAAAAAGTACCCATACTAATGTCGGGAAAGGGTCATTAACAACAATTACAAAGAAGAACGGGAAATATCCTTGTGCAAAGCCGTAAGAATCCATCTCGGCGGATCTCCAAAGTAATATGTTTCCCAGGTATCCTCATTTGCATTCTTTGCCATTATATCAGCCACATTGTTACCTTCACGTCGAATATGTTGAATAAGTCACGATGGTGAAGCTCGTCCAAATGTCATTTAAGGAAATGGCTCCCCTTGTAATCATCCTTCAGTACGCTAATAGCCTCCAGGCTATCCATTTCAAGAATTAACTTCCGACATCCATAGTCCCAAGCATAAACCAAAGCGTAATAAGCTCCCCATAGTTCAGCATCAAGCGCCGAACAAATATCGAGGAATTTCGAAAAGCCAAAGCACCAGCCACCTTCCTCATTTTCCGAGCAGCACCGCCACATTTGGCCAAACCAGTCGTGCAACAACGAGCGCCATCCGAATTTACCTTTAGCTAATGGCGTTCAGGAAGCCTTCATTTCTTGGTGACCATGCATGTACTGCCAGTCAAACACTCATTGCTATTAACTCCTTCAGCACACGGCGATAGTGAAATTAAGTGTTTGCTTCGGTCAATCATTGAACCTCGACCGGCCATTCCATTATTAAAAATAAAAGAGTTCCTATCAAGCCACAAGTACCAAAGAATATAAGCAAACAGCTTATCCCAATTCTCTTTGCCTCTACAAAAAGGACTTGATTTTACCAGATTACGGATCATCCATTCATGCAAATCAACGTTCATAAACTGATTCAGATCAGAATCTGGAAGCATTGCAGTCCAAACCGATATTGCTGGGGAGCATTTCCTGAATATATGATCCACATCTTCGATAATAGCACCACAAAAAGCGTTTGTCATTAGCTTCTTGTGACACGCCAGCCATAGGAAATATTTGACTCGAGGTAATCCTCGAAATTTATGAATCACCGACCAAATCGGCTCCTCACTCTCCTCTAATGCCCCTAGGCGTAACATGTACGCCAATTTGATCGTAAAGGTGCGATTTCGACTCCCTTTCCAACCAATAAAATCATTTGAAAGTCTCGGGTCTGGTTCCTTCACCGCATCAATTTGGAGTAAAATCTGTTGAGGGAGAACACGATCAAATAAATGCCAACTCCACCCTCCGCTATTATCAACCACAGCAACTAAAGGCAAGTGAGGCATCTCCTTCCGTATTTCTGGATCAACGAAATCAATGAGGGGACCAATATCATCCAGCCATGCGTCATACCAGAAGTCGATCTCCGTTCCCGAACCAACAGTCCAAATCAGACTAGCTCGGAATTCACTCCAGATTAGACAAAGCCCTCTCCAAAGCCGAGAACAATTCAAATTACGTAACTGTGATGGCACCCTATCAAAACAATTATATTTCGTCCTGAGAAGACGAACCCAGAGGGCATCGGAATTCGAAACCAATTGAAACACAATTTTCATTAGGAAAGCGTCATTAACCTTCTTAATGCTTCGGAATCCCAGCCCACCATTAGCAACTGGTTTACAAAACATTCTCCCATTTCACTAAGTGCATACCACCCTTATTAGTCGACAGCCCCATACAAAACGACGAATCAAACGCTCAATACGTAAACAGGTCTTCTTGGGTAACATCGCCGTCTGAAGAGTGTATGTAGGAATTGCCGCCAATACTGATTTAACTAGAACAAATCTGCCTTCCATCCATTAAGTTTACGTTCAACCATTTGGATTAAGTAGTAATACGAAGCCTCAGTAACCCGACGATGCAAAAGTGGAACGCCAAGATATTTACCAAGGTCGGACGCTTCCTTAAAACCAAATCCTGAACTTATTTGATCTCGCAGCCCATGACGCACATTCTTCGAGAAGAAAATAGTGGTTTTGACAGCATTGATTTTATGCCCGGATGCTTTGCAAAAATCATCCAGAACCGATTTCATCATGTTGACTTGATCCATAGAAGCTTCCGCGAATAAGAGCAAATCATCAGCAAAATTTAAAATTTTGATTCTATTTTTAAAGAATTAATTTCTTATGTTATTATATCAAGTCAATTAGTAATTGATATATTATAGTCTAATTAAATAATATGTTTTAGCTCAAATCATTTACAATTTTCTATTACTTGATTGATGTACGATACTAAAAAATCAGAATTATCTCGAGATGAATTTGATTCTTTAATGACAAATTAATAAAAAAAATTATTTTGATGATGATATATTCACATTTCAAATGATTTTTATATAAATCAAATAACAAAATTTTGAAATGACATGATCAAACACTTGAAATGCATTGAACTCTCAACCGATCAAACTCTATAGCATCTTCCTTTATCTGTCAAATTAGATAATACGTGCATGGATCATGAATGTGTTTGTTAAAGGATTAAAAATGTCATTTTTTTTTTCATCGATATTTTGACCGTCATTTCACATGTTAACATGCTTAAAGTTATGTTCGGATAAGTTCAAAAGTGAACGATGAAGAGAAAACAACAAATATTTTGTATAGTACAAATCTTGAGATATCCATATATTTATGTTGGTATAATTTTGTCAATTTATGTTTCATGTTTCGTATCTAATATTATGATATCCAAATCGGACGGTTGTTAATGAGAAGTCTTCTGAGCCTTTAGGGTTCAGCTCTGGTAAAAAGTGGCTTTCCTTTCGGTTGCTCGTTTAAACCTCTTCTTTTGCTTTGAAGTCGACAGGTGTTAGCTTTCGTCTCTATACGTATGTGCGTGTATATACAAAGATAAAAAATATTTCAATATCATGAAATCGGGTAATTATGTGGTATGAATAAGAATTATGACTGTTTTCCAAAATGGCTGGTTATATAGTAATTAAGAATTATATATTTTTTTAAATAAACAGAAATACGTGTTTTTTTTCAAAATTATTCGTAAGCGAGACCAATGAAAAAAATTATTCGTACATGATTATAACCATTAATACAAAAAAATGTTAAGTAAGGATCAAATAATCTCGATAGCAAAGAAATTATTACTTTTGTGCCGATTTGCAGTTTGTAAAACAATCTTTTCAATTGTAGAATTTGGTTGTAATGCTTATGTTTTCTGTTAAATTTCTCTACAAATAGATATAAAATAATCAAAGTCTAGGTTTTGTCTCTTCTTTTGTCCTTTCTTGGTATAATTGGCAGCTAAATTAATGTTCCTTTGTTTTGATTTGATTTTCTCATAAACTTTGCCTTAACTGCATCCACTGAATTGAAATAAAGCTACTTTAAAAGACCCTTTTTTTTGCTTTTAATTAATGGTTATTTGGTTTGCTATTTTCAGGATGGAATCAATTTTCCGACTTCTTTTGCATGAAAAAGTCCTTGTTCAAGGTGATGATCCTGACCTGAAGCTGCTTACTTTGACTGGCTATCATATGCGTGATCTTGCTACCATACTCGAAACAGCAAAATGGTAGGTATTGATTCATATTTTCTCTTCAGTTTTATATCCATTTAGCCAATTTATGTTTTTTTGAGTTCACTTAATTAGCTCACTTCATTGTTTGCTTCAATTAGTTGGAAGATTTTGAACGAGCAGTTAACTCATCAGCTAGGATGGACCAGTCTGCCTTTAAGAAGCATGTAATTTCCAGACATAAACAGTTTATTATAGCCATTAGAGAACAGATAAATAATGTTGAGAAAAGCTTGGAGGAAATGGAAATGGGCAACCCCATGAAAAACTCGTGTGGAAATTTGAATGAGCAAGATAGAGACGGTCTGGCATTATTTCTTTCTGGTGAGGATCGCAATGAACGTGATATTCGTTTTGACTCAGATGATAATGATAGTGGCAGCTTGAAAAGATTTCTTGATCCGGTCAAAGCATCTTGCTCGACAGATGCAGGAATTGTTGCTAATGGATGTGGAGAAATCAAGGAGGTAAATATGAATGGTGTTGTGGACAGTAGCCATTGCTGTGATTCTGTGAAGGAGAATAACTTAAGGAAGGTGGGTTCTCATTATTCTATAAAATTGGGACATGATCCAGCAAACGCTTGTAATGGGAATGCTCAAGATAGAAGTTGGGATTTAGAAGCTGGTGAAAGCAAAGCTAAGTGTTCCTTCCATGAGAATAAGTTGAGTGGTTCCTCCAGCAGAACTAATCTCTTTGGGTTCTTCGATAATTTATGGAATGCATATGGAAATAGGGTTCCTAGCAGCTATACGAAGCGAATGAAAGATGGTGAAAAAGGGCATTCATCATTGTACATTGATGCGCCTCGTGCTGCATGGGTATGTTTCAGTATCCGTCCTAATCCTTCAGTCCATCTTACATTAATCTTTGGAAGGTGTACCAATGAAGTAGTTAGCTCTGGATTCTGTACTAGTATCAAACGAAATTGAATTCTTTTTTGCTAATGTTATAAAGAACCAAATTTGGAACAATAAGCAATGTGGTTTTGTGCATTTATTCGTTGAATTGCTAAACTTGCTTATTGCCTATTTTTTTGCAGGTTGCAATAATTCATCATTTCCTCTATAGCAGAGAGTCGTGTTATATTGGTCAATAACCTCTTCTTATGGTCTGAAACTCTTTCACAGGGTCCACATATTGGGCTAAGTTTGGCACTTGAGGACTGTGGTCACCGGAGATTACATGAGTTTCTCGTAAAGGCCATGCACCAAGGAGGCTTGGGGCGTGTGATGCCAGATTTGTTAATCCGGCGATCCATACAAATGATACTGACAGTAGTATTTGTCTTCACTCTTTTAGGTAAGCACTTGATATCTATATGCAATATTATATTTATCATACTCAATTTCTAATGATCTGTCTGTCTGATGCATTTTTTATCATCGATTGTATTGCATACATCTTTAACTTGTTAGCGATTCTTCTGATAGAATTGTTTTCATTCTTGTTTTCCAATCACCTGAGGTTCGCTGATATACTATTTCTGCTGTGACTTGGGGGATTATATGACCGATCACCTGGTGCATGGGTAACAAAGAACCAAATCATAAGTGTGATTTTTGGTAATGTTTCCTTTAAGAACTTAATTGACTTGCAATAGGAAAAAAGGTTGTGCTTTAATATAGAGAAAGGGGTTATGTTTTCGTCACTGAATCATATTGTTTATAAATCATCGAATTCCTTACAAAATGCTTCAGCATGCTGAATGAATCTATTTACTTAGATATATAACGCTTGGTTTTGCATTACATCTTGTCAACCCTTACACCATGAGAGAAATATATGCTTTTCTTTTAAAATAAAGGTATGCAGGATATAAATTTATTCTATATCCAATATTTCTATTCATTCAGGTGTATTGATCTTCTACGTGGCTTGAAAACGGCAATTTGCAATTCAATGACCCCAAAACCGTATGTATGAAAAAACTTGTGTTTTGCACGTCGATATTCCTTTGATTTAGTTGTTCTGTAAGTTTTGATGTTCTACAGCCATTAAGCCGCTAGTCTGTTATGCTTTATTTCTTATTAATCTTTTTCAGATTTTTTTTAAACTGATTTAGAGAAAGTCTATGATTCAATTTAAGGCACAGGAGACTCCATGGACAGTGGATATTCATTTGTATAATCACAATTAAACATGAATATCAGTCATCAAATCGCAATGTCGAAAGAGTTCATAAGCCACCAAAAACTGCCAAAAATGCTTATAAATTGAGCGACAATGAAAGACTTTAAAACAGAGTTATCCATAAGCATACTATCAGCCCACAAGTCAAACCAGGAACAATAAAAACTACCTTTGCATTAAAAAGATGCATAAAAAGACTTTTTGTCTGAATTAAGATTCAAGATCAAGATCGATTCAGGGACTTATAAATGTGCAACAGCAGAACAGGGCAAAGCAAACTTGAATCTTATAAGAAAATTGTTTCAAAAAGGAATTACAACTCCTAGTGTCAAAGGAGCAGCAGCGGCAGCCAAGTAATAGATATAGAATGAAAAATCACAGCCTTCTTCCACGTCTGCCACCCTTTCTACGGGTACTATCAGTGGGAATGGGAGTAACGTCCTCTGCGGTGAAGAAAATGTTACATTGTCAGTTTACAAGGGTTGGGAGAAAATGGACCCAATGAAATTGAATCGAAAAGATGAATGATTTGTACCTATGCGCCCTATTTTCATGCCTGAACGAGCAAGGGCTCTAAGTGCTGACTGGGCACCAGGACCTGGTGTCTTGGTCTTGTTACCTCCAGTAGCACGGAGCTTTATATGAAGGGCTGTAATACCCAACTCCTGCAAATACCGTTCATGAGAAAAAAATAAGTTCAAGGCATGGAACTAAATGGCACAAAGTTCAAATAGGTAAGCAATAACAACCTTGCAGCGTTGAGAAACATCTTGTGCTGCAAGCATGGCTGCATAAGGTGAAGACTCGTCCCTGTCAGCTTTCACCTTCATCCCACCTATGTATATAAACAAATGTAAAAATACTTTTCACAGAAACAACTCCTCAGTGCACGTCAATGTTTGATTAACAAGATACTGTTAATAACAAAATCTCAAATAATTCAATGAAATTGGGGGATGACAAAAACCCAATATACCAAAAGAACCATTTTCAAAAGATGAACACAAACCATACCGGTTATGCGAACCATTGTTTCCCTTCCAGACAAATCTGTCACATGCTGCAATTGCAATTCAATGACATCATTTTGAATGTAGTGAATTACCAGGAAATAAAATCAATGTAAAACAGAGAGAATGTTATCACTTACTATAAATGTGTCATTAAAAGAAGCAAAAATGTGTGCCACTCCAAAAACATACTCGCCTTCTCGGACAGCAGGTCCAAGGGTAGTATTCTCTTCCTTGGGCTCCCTAACCTTTCTCCTCGACTACAGAATACCACAAATCAACGCAAGTGTCATCTAAATCTGCTTTAAATTAACAAAAACACTAATAAAAAAAGATCCTATGAATCTAAATAAATACCATCGGCAACAAATGTGAAGTTAAATCTAATCTAATTAGTAAATTATTCCAACAAGAAGTTTCCCCTCCCAAAGACTACAAGACAAAGCTTTTCACATTTCCAGGTTTTATTTAGCCTCAGTGTTTTTCAAGCATGGAAACGTAACCGAAGCTAGCCACTGCAATGTTTATGAGACCAAAAAAAAAAATTAAACAGATCACATAGTTTGTTACATTTTCACAGTAAGTATGCAAAATTCCACTCTTTTAGTTTATATTTTCTATAACAAAATCCCAAACTTTATTCTTCTCGGCTACTAAACAGGATTTAGCTTGACATTGAGAGAAAATAATAAAATCAAGACTTACCATAGCTTCGGGCAAAATGCAAGAGATGTCAAATTGGGGCTTTTGAGAGCGGTTTTGCAGATGACAGATTCAGCTTTGGAAGAGATGCTGCGAAAACTCAGTTAAAACTGTTTTATAGTTAGGGTTTTGACATCCTAGAGAGTAAATGACGAAAAGGACCTTAAGTTAGATTAACTTGCTCAAATTGTTGTTTTGGTCCTCTGATTTATTTTATGGTCTAGTCATCTTACCACCATTGATATTATGTTTTAGTCTAATATCATTAACATATGTTAAAAAATATATTTTGGATGATGTAGAAATTTTTTTATAAAAACAACTAATTTTATTCAAAATAAAAAAACATCCTAAATTATAAGGAAAGATTAAATCTAACCAATAAATTTGAACAAAGATAAATACAAACAAATCTGATTATATCAACAAACAACCACAAAAGTGGATCAATCTATTGAAAGATCACCGAAAAACTGCAAATTAGACTCAAGCGACGTGAAAAACTATTCACGAATGTAAATTGGGTATCTAAATCCAATATGAGGATCCAAAGAATGGAAAATCAATAAGATATCATATAAGCATTATCTTAATCAATTGTGACGATGTCAAATCAACCCTTAGGAAAAAAAGATAAATGAAAAAAATGACTAAAACATGTAAAAAAACATAAAAAAGTGTGTCATAAAGACATATGAAAACGTGCAACACAATCATACTTATTAAAAATAAAATAAAATAAAGATCTAATATAGAAAAGAAAAAGATAATAAAGACCACTGGTGGTCGACAACCAACATTAAAATTAGTGCTGCCATCGATCAATAAAGACGAAAAAGAAGAGAGATGAGTGATATATCAATGAGAGAAAATTAGTTTTTTAGATTTTTTTTTTGGAAAATGAATTTTTATTATTTTAAAAACTAAAACAAAATTATCTTAATATTTAGTTGAATTTTTTTATTTTCATGAAGATTTGATTTTAACAATCTTAACTTCATATTGTTTGAATGATTATGTTATCTTGTTTAAGACAATATGAAAAATGGAGAGGTAAGATAATTGTAACTGCATACAGAATTGTGTTAGATGAAACACGATAATTGAGGTAGAATATGACGATTGATAATTGTAATTATATACGGAATTGCGTTAAATGAAACACAATAATTGAAGTAGAACATGACGATTGATAATTGGAAGCATGATGTTATTGTGATAACGATCAGAAGTAGAAGGTTGAGGGAGGGGTCTCCACATCTATTCTTATGAGATGTCTTAGAATGACAACTTGGAACATGACTGCTTGCAGCGGAAACTCTGTGTAGCAGTATTCATATATAATTGTATATATGTAATAACCGTTAAGCACAATAATAACGTGCAAGTTTTCTGATACTGTAAAAGATTTCTTATAGATAAATATTTTTGGCTTTACCATTTTACATGAAAAAAGAATGAAGAAGATTATCATATACGTATATCAAGCACAAAAATGGATTATGACAGCTGTGGGATTTGAACCCACGCCCTTTCGGACCAGAGCCTAAATCTGGCGCCTTAGACCACTCGGCCAAACTGTAAGTTGAAAAATCATATACATAAATTTATTTATAATTATTATAATTTTGACAAAAAAATAAAACGCTAGAAGGAGGGCTTGAATCTCCGACCTTGTGGTTAACAGCCACACGCTCTAACCAACTGAGCTATTCCAGCTTTGGTATTTGCCAATGAATAATGTAATCCCTCCTATACATTAATTAGAGGATGATAATGTGAAATGCCAACTATGTAAATTGATATTTTTTATTAATTTATAGTGATTATAAGTGGTAATATCTATTTTAATAACTCTTGACAATTTGATATTTAATGCTTAAACATTATATAGTTCTTGGTACTCGAACTTAGAATTTCTAAGAATAACAATTATCCCTTTAATCATTAAGATCGTTTGATTCGAACGTAAATTATTGCATTATATAATTGTAAGGCTAAAAAAATAATAGTTTTATTTTTTAAGAAAAAGAAAAATTTTAGAAAAAATATAAATATGACACATGTCACTTAACAGTTTTTCAACGGCAGTTACGAACCAAATACTTAAAAGTACAACAAATAAAACATTAGACAACTATTTTAAAATATATATATATTTAAGCATCAAAAATAAATTTTAAATATAGGTTAACATTTATTTTTATATTAATCATTTTATAATTAATATTCAAGATAGATTCTTTTTACATAATATACATAACAGATCTTAAATTATCTTAAAACCGAAAGTTTTTAAAAATATGTAAAAAACTTATTAAATTGTATGATATATATGGAATATATAATTAAAAACACAATGATTAGTTAAATAGGTAAAATATAGTAAATACTATATATTAAATAATATTATCTAATTAATTAATTAATTAATTATAGACCATAAATTAAAGGAAAATTATTTAAATGGTTGCTTTCATTCTTTTAAGTGTTCACTTTTGATCCAATTTTTTTAAAAGTAACACTTGGATAATTTATGTTATCAATTCATAAGGTTTCGGTCAGGTATGTTATCGACTTATAACATTTTGATCACTGTGTTAGTTTGATAATGTTGCATGATAGTAAAAGTGATTTATTTTTAATTCTACCATGGATAAAACACTAATTTAACTCCTAAACATTAGATATATTTTTATTTGGCCTTTATATTTTATATAAAATATCAAATGAATCTTTTCGGAGTCCTCCGTCATCGTCTATTGCTCACCATCACCGTCGATCATTATCGACTGTTACCGATCATTGTCTTCAACAACCGTTAGACCTCAAAATTTTCAATTCTCGTCTTTTTAGCATCTTAAACGGGATTGAAATGTTAGTTTTATCGAAAAATACCTCAAACTTTACAAATCTAACCTAAAACTTACAACTTCCTTTAAAACGAAATCATAATATAAACATATCATTAATATTATTTTAAAAATTAAAAATTAAAAAACTAAAATTATATCAAACATTCTAACTTAAAAACAGTCATACCTTTATAGAATGGCCCATGGAACCTGAGTACATTCTTTTAACTCAATTTACAATACAACAGAAATTGTATGGCCCTTAAGTGATGTTACTGGTTCAAATAAATTTATGAAATTAATATATTTTCAAATTAATATTGTAGCATACCAAATTCAACTCAAAATATCTTATAGATTTAAAAATATTATATTCGGATTATCATAAAAGATCTATATTTTTTTAAAAAAATTATTTCTTAAAACTAAATAATTTAAAATAAATGAAGGTTGATATGTTAACAAAAAAAAAACACAAATCAAAATAATTTGCAAAAGTGGAGTTTCACAAAATTAAACATTTATACAGAAAGGCGATCATATTTTAAGTGTATTTACGTAATACAGACTCAACTAAAATAAATGAGTATTGTACTTAAAGATATAGGCTTGATGAAATTTCCTTTAAGATGTCGATGTCCTAATTTGAACATAATTGATGTCTAATTACTTGGGAGGAGTTAATAGTTCAAGCATTAAGCTTTACAAAATTCAAGAATAAACAACTACTTAACAAATATAATATGAAATATGTAATGCAATAATGATGAACATAAACATAATATGAAGTATCAAAGGTGTAACATAATTTGGCACAAATAATAAAGCATACCTTAGGCTTTTATTATCATGTCACATCATAAATTTAACGATATTTAACGTCTTAATTATTAAAATATTATACATGAATAATATAATATGTTAAAATGTTATAGATCGATAATATTAATGACTAAAATAATATTTTTTATATTCAATGACCAGAAGTGAATAATTTTAAAAAGAAAGAGACCGTTCCGATAGTTTTTCCTCAATTAAAATAAAAGCAATTTTAAAGTTCTATCTACCGTCTACAAATACTTTTCCCCTCTCGCTTCATCTTCTTTCGATCTTTCCCCCGAATTGAAACCCTAATAAAAAAAACAATTAATCAAAATATATGTCCAATAAAATAAAAGAGGGTTTTCGTTGAAAAAGATCGAAGAAAATGTCAGACAAACCACCACTAAGAAAGTCGGTTGTGATCCGATCCGTTTGGTGTCACACTTTGGAGTCCGAATTCGAGATAATCAGATCCGTCGTCGACAAATTTCTGATCATCTCAATGGACACGGAGTTCCCCGGCGTTGTTTTCAGGCCAAGTTCCCCTGGAAGCGGCGGCGCCCAGTACCTACGGCCGGCTGACCTCATGGATCATTATAAAAGCCTCAAAGCGAACGTCGATTTGCTGAAGATGATCCAACTCGGCTTAACACTCTCGGACGGTAACGGAAATTTACCAGATCTGGGCACGGAAAACCAATTTATCTGGGAATTCAATTTCAGAGACTTCGATATCGCGAACGATGCCCAGGCTCACGATTCCGTCGAACTTCTCCGTCGCCAAGGCATAGATTTTGAGAAAAACCGGGAAATGGGGATCGACTCGGTCCGGTTCGCGGAAATGATGATGTCATCGGGACTCGTTTTGAACGAGGACGTTACGTGGGTGACTTTCCACTGCGCGTACGATTTCGGATACCTCGTGAAGTGCTTGACGGGCGAGTCGTTACCGTTCAAACTCACCGATTTCTTGAGCCTCGTGCGCTTGCTCTTCGGAGACAGACTCTACGACGTCAAGCACTTGATAAGGTTCTGCGCTGGCTTGTACGGGGGGCTCGACCGAGCATCTAACTCTCTGTCTGTGAACCGGGCTATTGGGAAGAGCCATCAGGCCGGTTCCGATAGCTTGCTGACATTGGACGCGTGGTTGGAGGTCAAAAGAAGGTATTTTAGGGAGGGGGATGTTGAGAATTATGCTAATGTTCTTTATGGTTTGGAAGTTGAATCTTCATGAAATATTAATGCATTCTCTGCTGATAAGTCCTCATGGCATTTGTTTTTAGTTAAATCTTTGTACACAATTTCTGGGTTATTTGATCAATCATTAATATTAGTAATAGTTTGAGTTCCATTCTTTCATTTGCACACTCCCCATATTAAGAATTTATAATTTTTCTGCTAAAAATAAGCCATTAATCTATGAGTTGCATTTGAATAAGCTTTTGAGCTGTAATTTGTACCCAATGACAATATGCCTTAGGCCCTTGGCATTTAATTATCCGTAAAAAGATCTTTGGTGCTATTTGAGTACAAATGAAAGATAATGATCTATTTGATTACCTTCAGGGCTCTTGTTTTAATATTTTAGCCTTATTTATATTTTGGTTTGATGTTTACTTTAATGGTGAATAGAAAGCATTTTGCTGCAGGTAGATAGGATAAAGAGTACACCAAATTACCGACCTCAAAAAGAATCTTAAACAATGACAACCATGAGGACGGCTCTAAACTAACCATTGGCAATATCAATCCATGAGTCTTGTTTCTGTGCAGTGTTCTTAAGTGCTTATACTTGAAAGGGGTCAGATTATGGTTTTCATCCCTCTATTATACTTGGGATTTTTTGATAGTGCAGTTTAATTTGGTCTTTCTATTGTTATTAGTGTGAATTTTTGTTTGAAGAAATAAACCATATATATGTGAACTCTTTACAATCAAAGAAAAGAAGTTGCAAGAACTTGAGTCCATGGCTTTGTAGCGAAAGAACTGCTGATAAGAACACTAATGGTAATGATAAGAACCGTATCACCGTGCTTTAGTTATTTAGTGAAACTTCACGGAGCGGTGACTTGAAGATGATCTTACTTCTTCGTAGAGAAACTTGTGAAGCATCATAAATTGTTGAAACGGTAAAACCTGAGCGTCATACATGGCCAAAAAGTGTGTTGTCCCAAACTCGAGAAAAACGAGTCATTGTGGACCTAGAAAAACATGAGTCCCCGTCTTATTATTGTGAAAAGGTCTCCTCTTTTAAGAAATTTATGGAGATAGCTACAAGGATGAAGAGACGATGACAACAAAGCCGAGGACTATGATCATGGAGAAGAAAATTTAACTCAATCTCATTATTTGATTTTTTTAAAGAATTCTATATTAACCGATTAACAATAGTGATTTTTATTCAAGTATAATATTAATAGTAATTGAGGGATTAAATTATATTAAACTAAAGAACAATGTCTAGCGTAGCATAGACCCGAGTCTAAAAGACCGATAATGGATGTACGTGGTTTAAACTTAGATCCTAATATGCACTTAGGATGTCACTTTCTTGCTTACTGCTAGAACTTGTTTAAGTTTGTAGTTTGTACAGTATCCCAACAAATAGGCCTCCTTAGATGATGAAGTAGGCTCATGTAAAAGCATGTTATTACTCGATACATTTTTTATAACTAGAATGGTAATTTAGGCTGGATTAGCTCAAAACCAAAACTTGTTTAAATTCAGTTCAACTCACGCTAGGTCTATTGGTTGGATAAACAATTCAATCTTTGGACAAGTATAAAACATCAAGTCTTAAATTAATTTCACAACACGATGTATGAAATTTCTTCAATAATATTTTGGTTGACGTATGAATTGTTCTTATAATAAGTATTTACAAAATTTGATTGACGTATGCTTAATCCGTTCATGCATTAGTTTTTAAACGATTCAAATATGAAGTCTTCGTTTAATAGGGCCCGAAAATCATGGGCCTAATACTTAGTTGGCAGCCTTACAAGGGTATTCAAGCCTTCAATGTCGGCGTAAGAAAATTGGAATCCAGCAAACCATAGAGTAAGAGTTAGGACAAACCCTAAAATCAAATGTATATGAGAGGAAGACATTAGGAATGTAAACCCTTCAAAGACAATGCCAATCAGGGGTTCCCTCTTTGAGGGACAAGGATTGAAAACAATGGGGTTGAACTGTCCTTGGAGTGACTTGGGTAATTCATTTGATTTGACCCTAAATAGCCCACCATTTCCTTTTATTTGTCACGAAAAACCTGTCTTTAACAAGTCTTAGATATTGATCCTCCAAGTCAGAATGTACCAATTCATTGGTCCCCTAATTTGCTTTTAAGTTTTCTTCATTTTTCAAACTTTATTTTTTGTATGTTCCTTTCACAACAACGAGATATGTTGATAAATTTTGCCATCTTAATTAAGAGCCACACTATCATCCAGCTATGACCCAACACCCAAACTTCATGCCTTAAATAGATTACATATATTACGATATTTAAAAGTTTGGTCAAATTAAATTCGGATTTTGAATGTTAGAACTCAAGCTTGACTATATTATAATTGAACTTTTTTTAAATTTAATATTTTTTTTGTTTAAACCCTGTTAAATTTTAATTTGTGTTTCGAACCCGGGTAACTAATCCAACCCTTGGACAAGTCTACTTAAAAAAATTATATAGAATCTAAATATGTTAAATGATATTTTTGAAAATCAATTATATAAATTAAAAACATTGCTTAAAATTATTCATATAAAAGAAACTACTTCTACACCAAATTTTGCAAATGCTGGAGTTGAAGCATCAGCAAATGGAGATGAAGGAAATCACTGACTGCAAACAATTGCCTTAATTGGTTCAATTATAAGTAAATATATATATAGAGAACCTATTGGAGAGTATGTTTGTTTCCCTCTCTTTTTTCTTCTATTCTTAAAGAGAAAAGATATATCTTGTAGAAAACCCACGTTAGCTAGCAACTTTCTTTAGCTTTTCAGTTGAAGCATTGTGTGCTTTTGTAGGCACACAAGTAATTAGATGTTCCCCCTCGAGAGGAAAAATGTCAAAAGATTGGCTAGGTAGTGATTCATCACCCATCGTGTCTCCTTTCTTTCCTTGATATGTTTCAATATTAATACATATTTGATAAAATCATTAGTATTCGATCTATCGATCAACAAATTTAAATTATATCTTATAGAGACATATTATGAGATAATTTACTCAATTTGATCTAACGATTATTACTGTTCTTTTTATAAGTTGTAAACTTCATTAAGATAAAAAGTAAGAATAAATCCACTACATGTACAACTATATCTAAATGCTATTTTTCTCTATACAATTATCTAGCCTCCCAGTCTATACAAAAGTGATTATTAGCAATGTCGTTTTTATTGAATTCTAGCTTAAAATTCATTGATTCTTTTATTGGGACATCAAATAACCCTACATCATTGGTCTGAGTTCCCTCCAGACTTGGAGAGTCGTATATAAACTTATAAAATCATTGTCTCAATCTATTTAACTATCATTTTCTTCTTAATTTCATTAAATGATATTATAGTCGAGAAGCACCACATACGAACATTTGCTTAAGTAATTAATTTTATATTTAAATTTTTATTTGAATCATAAAACTATTAAAAAAATATTTTTATTACTGATATTATCCAAGGTTTCCTTTACAAAAGATAAGGTTAAGGTTTTGATGCCGCCTTCAAATTAGATGTACTTCACCACTAAAAAGTGACAGTAATCTCTTCTCCAAGCACCCACAAGGCAATTTTCAATAATTTATCTATGTTCTTTTCAGGAATTATGGCCTCAAGTCAAGTCTCAACCATCATTTAATTCAATGATTATATACATATTGTATGCACGCATTATCTGTGAAAAACTCTTCTGTAGGGGTAAACTTGTCTGCTGGTGAAGTACCGTAGCTAAAAGGAGAAGAAAACGAAACCAATACTGTTCATATGAATTTCGCTTTTAAAAAGACTCCAGTATATATGCTCATGTGACCCATCAACACTTACGGCTCTTTTCTACTGTTTAACATTACAAGACTTCCACTTAAAATTAGCCAAGGAATATACAATAACACACTTTTATTTAAACATTTCTATTTGAAGAAATATTTTCATTTAGTGCATGAAAAAAAAGCTTCACCCATTGTTTAGAATTGTAAATATAATTCTAATTAGTTGTTATGTTGGTTAGTCTTGTTTGTTATTTTTTGATTTAGCAGTTACTAGCATAGGCAGTTATATATATATATGAGCTCCACACCTTGTAACTTAAGCGTGCTTGATGAATAACAAGTTAGTATTCTTTTAATTTCTCTACTTAGCAAATTAAGACCCGATCTAAATAGTAAAAAAGAATATTTTTTTTATATAAGATTATTGAATTATATGATTAAAAGTTTTTTCCCTGATAAATGGAGATGAGTACGTTTTTAATAAAGAATTTACTGATAATATAAAAGGTTATACAGGAAGAGTGTACTAAATATAAACTGGCTTCAAGGAACGGTCAGCAGGCTTGATGGAGAACACCCCGTTCCAGATCTCAGTGAAAGCTTTAACAATGATCCCATGGTAATAAGGCGAATTGAGCTTCAAGAAACAGTTGAGAAGCTCCATCAAATCATCTTTGGAATATATCTCTTTCTCCAATATCATTTGCAACATTGAGTACCTGAAATCCAAGTAAGGGTCATCCGACTCTTTCTCCACCGCCACGCTCTCCCCTCCCACACGCCCAAACCCTATAACCGTCGCCGTCGAACACTTGGTTTCCTTGTCTATGTCCATGTCCCGGAACTGGATGGCTGTGCCCGAGCTCACAGAAAACGAGGTCAAAGTTTCGAATCCTGACGACGGCAAAGGAGGAGTTGTTTTGGATGAAGGAGAACGTGGTTTGGGTTTGGGGTCGAAAAAACCGGAGAGCTTCGATTTCTTGCAGCCTAAGCTGACTGAAACCGTGCTGAGGATCAGCTTCTTTTTGTTGAGTGGCATTCTTGTTTAATTAGTTAAGAAGTTATTTAGAGAAATGAAAGATATGGGAGTGAAGGAACTTAATGAGCAACGAAGAAAGCTATCTATAATTATAAACCCCATAAATCCTGCATGTGACCGAGGGCTCCATGGGTTACTTTCTTATTCTTATTTTATATAAGAATATTAATATCTAATTGAAGAAAATTTGAATATAAAGATAAAATCTTTAAATATATGAAGAGAAATTAAAGAAAACAATGAACATTTTTGTAATAATCACCTACCTACATTCACTACTCAGAAACTGTCCCATATTAAGGGTTTTGGAGAGCAATTTAGTTATTGTATATTTAAATTTCATATAGATAGATAGAATTGAAAATTAGGGTAAAGTTAAATATTAATTTATCGTACTGTAAAAAAATGGAAAATTGATTAAATAATTTAATTCTTACCGTATTTTAAAAATATTAACTTTTAATTCTATTTTTATGTTACTTTAAAATACTATAGGTCAACATCTTCTAAAGTTAAAAGTATACTTTCATTTAAAATTTTGGCTCATTGCTTCAAAATTAAATAGTGAATATTAGTTTAGTTGTCACCGTCACTGTAGAAAAGTTTCGAAAGAGAGCGATTCAAGCATGGATCAAGTCAAAAAGTTTTATTTGTGAATTAAATATTTGGGTAAATTATACCATAGACCATTCAACTATAGCCCTTTTTCATTTGACCACTATTTTTGAATTCTTGTCAATCAAATCACTCAACTATTTAAATACATTCAATCAGGCCACTTACCGTTATCATTTAACAGAAGCACTGATGTGTGGTAGTTAATAAAATTGATATAATTACACATTTGGTCAGTGTTACTTATATATTATCTCAATTTGGTCCTAAATTTAATAAATTAAAATAAATTTAATCTTATCATGCCATGTGCCACTAATATCAAATATCATGACATGTATCGCCCTCTTGATGGAAAGAAAACTATGAGTGGTAAAAGGGGCACAAAAAATTTGAACTAGCAACCATTGGGGGAGAAGGGAGGAGCCCAACCACTAGACCAAGTTCATTTTTTGGTTTAAAGTAGACTACATATGATATATATCTTGTTTCCTAGTATAATTTTAAATTCTTAACTATAAAATTTATTTTTTATCTTGACTTAAATATTTAAATTTTATTCTTATAATATTTTAAATTCGATAAATTAAGAAAAAAAATAAAAAAAATTATAGTTAAGAATTTAAATATTTTAAATATATATTCTTAACTTAAATAATAAACTTGTACTACTTTAAACCAAAATATATATATTCGATAAATTAAGAAAAATAATAAAATATATATTTTTATAGTTAAGAATTTAAGATTATACTAGGAAACAATATATATACAATATGTAGTCTTCTTTAAACCACAAAATGAACTTGGCCTAGTGGTTGGGCTTCTCTCTTCTCCGCCATTGGTTGTTGGTAAATAAATTAAATCCTCCAATCAGGTGGCGACATGTGTCATGATATTTGGTATTAGTGACACGTGACATAATTTGATTCGAAAATTAAATTTATGACCAAATTGAGATAATATATAAGTAACAGTGATCATATGTGTAATTATACCAATTTTATTAACTGTCACATCAACACTTCTGTTAAATGTTAACGGCAAGTGACCTAATTGAATGCATTGAAACAGATTGGTGTCTTGATTGACAAGAATTCAAAAATAGTGGTCAAAATGAAAAAATGGCTATAGTTAGGTGGTCTCTAGTATAGTTTACCCTAATTTTTTTTAAAAAAAAATATCTCAAAGGTTATAAAATTAGTATATTTGATAAATCGATGTGGACACCTTGATTAATGTGAATTTGTTCTTATATCATTTCAATGTTAAACATTTTCTAGGAGCTTTTGAAAGTTTTGTAGGAATTTTAGCTTTTGAAAGTTACAAGCAAATATTTTATTATTTTTACATTATCTTAAAACCGGTTAAGTGCCTCATTAAGAAAAAACTCACGATAAAAAATATTTAAGAAAAATTTCACGATGAGAGAAGACATCATAAAACTTTGAAGAAAATTCACGATGAAGAAAACTATTAATTGAAGCACCTCTACCTTATAATTAGTGAAGACCTCTCAACATTTTGAAAAAATTCATGATCGATGAAGAACACCTATCTTTACACTATAATTAGTGAAGGCATCTCAACATCTTTACATATAATTAGTGGACACATTTCAATGCAGAAAATTCACAATGGAGAACATGACAAGTATAGACATCTCCAAGTTATAATTAATAGAGACATTTTGAACTCATTGGAGAAAGTTTACGATAGAGGACACACGAATGAAAATATATCTACATTGTATTTAGCAGAGGTATCTCAACGCTTTAGAGAAAATTTATGATTGATAACACTACAAGCGAAGGTATATCTATATTATAATTAGAGGAGATGCATCAACATTTTGGAAAAAGTTCACGATAGATAATACTACAAGCGGAGGCATATTCACATATGCATCTTAATGTAAGAAGATTCATAATAGAGAATACTACGCGCCAAGACATCTCTACATTGTAATTAATAGAGACATCTCAATATTTTAGAGATATTTTGATGTCAGGTCTTAAGAGACCATATTGTGAAAGAGGTTGAAGGTAACTTGCTCTGGTCATCTACGATCACAAGACATTTGCTCTCAGATACTTAGAAATAAATATTAGCATTTTTTTTGAATAAAAATGGATAGGTATACCTTTCATTGATGATTGTTTGAAGAGACTGAAAAGGGTTTGTTCCTTTATTGATGAAGATATATTAGTAAATATTTATGCTCATATTTTATATAAAATCTATTAATAATATATTATTTTCATCAAGTCTTTGTGGAGATTAGGATGCACAATACTGGAGAAATTTCAAAATGGAAGTAAATATTAACTAGAGGAAATTAAATTTCATGAAATTTTTGTTGAAGATTAAAAGTGTCTGCACGCATCGTACCGATATTGACGAACAATATGGTAACCAATTATTTGTGACGATTCACTTCAATTGATTTGGATAAAAAAACATCTGTGATAGATGAAAAATATTAAGCTTTGTAGCCACGATGGTTCTTAGGAGAAAAGAGAAGACATTAGAGAAGCAGTAAATGAGAAAAAGATCCCTTTTGTTGGAGAAAAATGAAGAAAAAAATCACCTTGCTATATTGAAGTCATACCTCTCAACTGATCTTCAAAAAGAAATACCTCTTAAGCGAAGGTAACTGGGGCGATAGACTATTATTCGATCCAACTTATATATTATTATTATTATTATTATTATATTTTGAGGTACACCAAGTTACATTTTCTAGTACTAGAAACTGAAGATGACAACAAGAATGTAGGAGATTGGACTTTCCTTTTTCCTGTATGCATCATTTAATTGTACGTTTTGAACTTAATACGAAGGAGAATATTAACTATTGTCCACCCATGCTACTTAAGATTATATTTCAAAATACATATTTATTATTATGAAATATATAATTAAATTTGTTTTAAATATAGCAATTGACACCAACTCAATATATATACATAAATACTGCAAATGCAAGTGTAAAAGAGGTTACTGATTAAACAAACAAATTGATAATATTTTAGAGGATTCACATGCAGTATTATTGCAGAATCATATAGTCTCAAAGCAAGCAAAGGGATTATTGATCCACCGGATAATATATCAAAGGTTCACGGGGCCAAATAAATACAAATCTAATATCAATCAACCATTTTTAGCTCATCGGTACACCACCATTAATCTTGTGAATCTTCTGCCTATTTTGGTTCTTTATTAATTTATTTGTTATTGTTCTGCTTGTATAATCAGTAATATTATCAGTGGATATGGTCTTACTTCTGCTGCATGCAGCGACCTAGCTTTTTAACAGCTCATCTCATTTCTTGGAGCCACCATGTGCAAACAAAGCTTTTATTAAACTCGAAATTTAGGCTTGCTTAATCAACATAATCATCTTTAAGAAAATATTTAGTAAGTTTAAGATTTAGATTATAATTTTTACAATCATTTCTTTATCTTTTTTCCTTAAAAAACATTGCATTTATAAATTTAGAACTTAATTAATTCATACAATCATTCTTCAAGTCTGGATTCAAATCTCGATGACTACAATACTTCTGTTATCCCAAACTACAACATTCATCATGCCAAAAAAAAGCATAATTTATATAAAATTTAATCGAATCAATTCGTACAATCATCCTAAAAAAGATGACATATAGAAAGTTAAGTTATATGATATATCTACAACCTTTTCCTTACCCCAAACTAGCGCCTCCTTTATACCCAATAAAAATAAAAGAAAACAAAGCTTTAAATCTCATTAATTTTGTTCTTCGCACTATGGTTAAGAAAAGCAAAACCTATCCTCTACGGGGACAGCCTAGCAGTAAGGATAACAGAAACTGTGGTACCAAACTCTTGACCTTATCTCCATATACCCATACTATATGCAAATATGAGAAAAACTTGAAAACATATTCATCTTAGATATCGTTTATCATTGCTATTGTCACACCTGCATAGTGATGATGAAGTTCGATGAATCATGTGGCTGAAAAATCACTGCATTGCGATAATCATGATGATATAGATGAATACTAGGGCTGTAAAAAGCTGACCCGACCTGTAAAACTGACTGAAACCGACCCGAGTCAAAACTGTTTTTGACCTGCGCTGCGGCGATTCGAAATCGACTCGAGTCGGAACTGGTGTTGACCTGAACCCGAGTTGGACCTGGAGATTGTGGATCCGAACTCGACCTGCATCCGACCTGAGAACGACCTGAACCCGAATTGAACTGAAAATATGATACCCGAACCCGAACTGCATCCGACTGATATGAACCCGAACCCGAGATTGACCTGATAAATAACTGGTATTACCCGACCTGTTTTCAACCTGACCTGTTTTCAACATGACTTGTTTTTAACATGACTTGTTTTCAATCTGACATGTTTTTAACCTGACCTGTAAATGATCCAACTTGTTAATGACCTGATCTGATATTTACCATACTTATATATTACCATGGATGAAATTATAAGATTTTAATAAAATTATGAGTTTTTTAGTTTATGATGTAATTAAAAATTAATATGATTTTTAAATGTTATAAAAAATTTTATTTTGATAATTAAATTAATAAATATACCTATTATATAAAATTATTTAAAAAATTTAAAAAATTATTTAAAAGTAAATTAGATAAAACATGATTAATAATGCAAAGGAAAATTAATATAGTTTAATTTATATAAATTATATAGTTTAATTTATATAATGACAAAATAATATTAATAATGAAATTATTTATTATGTAATATATATTAACGTTTTACATTATTAATATAAATAATTTTGGCAATACATTAGTTTACAAAGGCTAATACATAAGCCCACTCTTTTATTACAAATATATATGCATTAGTGCTAGTCCATTTAAATTAGGATTTATGGTTTAAAGTTTAAAATTGGGGTTTATGATTTAGGGTTTAGGGTTTCTATAAACTATATATTTTATTACTTTATATAGTTTATGCATAGTGTTTCTATAAACTATATAAGTAATTTACTTTATATAGTTTATATATATATAGTTTATATATACTATACATGGTACATACATATTATATAAAATTATTTAATAAAATTATTTAAATGTAAATTATATAAAACATGATTAATGAGGTGTTAAATAATTAGTATGTCACATTGCATATTATATGGTTCATAAAGTAGTACATGTCATATTAATTTAAATTGCATAATTTGTATTTTAGTTGCATGTTAGGTTAATTCACATTAATGGCTCATTTATTTGTTGTTATGATAAGTAATAATAAAACCCAAAAAAGTCCATTTGCAATAGTGCTAGTCCATTAACATTAGTTTACATAGGCCCAATGCAAGCCCACTCTTTTATTACAAATATATATGCATTAGTGCTAGTCCATTCAAATTAGGGTTTATAGTTTAGAGTTTATGGTTTAAAGTTTAGAATTAAGGTTTATGATTTATGATTTAGGGTTTTTATAAACTATATATTTTATTACTTTATATAGTTTATGCATAGTGTTTCTATAAACTATATAAGTAATTTACTTTATAGTTTATATATATAGTTTTATATACTATACATGGTTTATACATACATATTATAAAAATTATTTAATAAAATTATTTAAATGTAAATTATATAAAACATGATTAATTAGGTGTTAAATAATTAGTATGTCACATTGCATATTATATGGTTCATAAATAGTAGTTCATGTCATATTAATTTAAATTGCATAATTTGTATTTTAGTTGCATGTTAGGTTAATTCACATTAATGTCTCATTTATTTTGTTGTTATGAATAAGTAATAATAAAACCAAAAAATAAGTCCATTTGCAATAGTGCTAGTCCATTAACATTAGTTTACATAGGCCTAGTGCAAGCCCACTCTTTTATTACAAATATATATGCAATAGTGCTAGTCCATTTACATTAGGGTTTATGATTTAGTATTTAGTGTTTGTGGTTTAAAGTTTAGGGTTTATGGTTTATGATTTAAGGTTTATGATTTAAGGTTTATATAAACTATATATTTTACTACTTTATATAGTTTATGTATAGTGTTTCTATAAACTATAAGTAATTTACTTTATATAGTTTATATATATATATATATAATATATATATATATATATATATATATATATATATATATATATATATATATAGTTTATATATACTATACATGGTTTATACATACATATATATAAAATTATTTAATAAAATTAATAAAATTATTTAAATGTAAATTATATAAACATGATTAATTAGGTGTTAAATATTAGTATGTCACATTGCATATTATATGGTTCATAAATAGTAGTACATGTCATATTAATTTAAATTACAATTTGTATTTTAGTTGCATGTTAGGTTAATTCACATTAATGGCTCATTTATTTTGTTGTTATGAATAAGTAATAAAAACCCAAAATAAGTCCATTTGCAATAGTGCTAGTCCATTAACATTAGGTTACATAGGCCCAATGCAAGCCCACTCTTTTATTACAAATATATATGCATTAGTGCTAGTCCATTTAAATTAGGGTTTATGGTTTATGGTTTATGGTTTAAAGTTTAGAATTAGGGTTTATGATTTAGGATTTAGGGTTTTTATAAACTATATATTTTATTACTTTATATAGTTTATGCATAGTATTTCTATAAACTATATAAGTAATTTACTTTATATAGTTTATATATATATATGTTAGTTTATATATACTATACATGGTTTATACATACATATTATATAAAATTATTTAATAAAATTAATAAAATTATTTAAATGTAAATGATATAAAACATGATTAATTAGGTGTTAAATAATCAGTATGTCACATTGCATATTATATGGTTCATAAATAGTAGTACATGTCATATTAATTTAAATTGCATAATTTGTATTTTAGTTGCATGTTAGGTTAATTCACATTAATGGCTCATTTATTTTGTTGTTACGAATAAGTAATAATAAAACCAAAAAATAAGTCCATTGCAATAGTGCTAGTCCATTAACATTAGTTTACATAGGCCCAATGCAGCCCACTCTTTTATTACAAATATATATTTAGTGCTAGTCCATTTAAATTAGGGTTTATGGTTTAAAGTTTAAATTAGGGTTTATGATTTAAGGTTTCTATAACTATATATTTTACTACTTTATATAGTTTATGTATAGTGTTTCTATAAACTATATAAGTAATTTACTTTATATAGTTTATATATATATATATATATATATATATATATATATATATATAGTTTATATACTATGCATGGTTTATACATACATATTATATAAAATTATTTAATAAAATTAATAAAATTATTTAAATGTAAATTATATAAAACATGATTAATTAGGTGTTAAATAATTAGTATGTCACATTCCTTATTATATGGTTCATAATAGTAGTACGTGTCATATTAATTTCATTTGCATAATTAGTATTTTAGTTACACGTTAGGTTAATTCACATTAATAGCCCATTTATTTTATTGTTATGAATAAGTAATAATAAAACCCAAAAATAAGTCCATTTGCAATTTTGCTAGTCCATTAACATTAATTTAGATAGACCCAATGTAAGCCCACTCTTTTATTACAAATATATATACATTAGTGATAGTCTTTTTACATTTTAAATTTATTTCGATTTAATCCATTACCTATGTGTGTTGTTTAATTTATATTTTAAGATTTTATTTATAATTTTACATTTCTTAAATTTTGTCATTAATTTTATTTTTTTTACAAAATTGATCCATGATTATTTATTTTTCTCTTATTTTACTCGAAATCAAATACAATTACAACTTCCAATTCAACAATCACGAAAGATGAAAAATTAATTAATCCAAAAAAATAAAAACGACCCGACCTGAACTCAATCCGTATCCGATAAACATCTGACCTGAATTTTATCTGTCAATGATGTGACCCGATCTGAACGAGATCCGACTGAAGTCAACCCGAACCTGAATTAACCTGGTATTTATCTGCTTCGAACCTGAATTGTTTTGACCTGAACTGAAATCGATCCGAACTGAAAATGACCCGACCTGAACCCGATCTGGATCTGGTGTCAAATCAACCTGAAAATAACCCGAACTGATTTGACCTGACCTGAACCCGATCTGGATCTGATGTCAAATCAACCTAAATTGACCTGTATCCGATTTTACCCGACCTGTCAAGATCCGACTGAAACCTGACCGATTACCTGTTTTTACAGCCCTAATGAATACAATCTGCATATACAGCATTCACATACATATCAATTCTCAACGTGTAGAACTGTTGCTATTTGACTCGACCTTAAATGTTCAATGATATTCAAAATAAAAAGATCCATTTAATATTATCAAAATAAAATATTTTTTATAAGTCATTTTCTATAGATCAAACGAAACCTTGTCATCATTCATTGTCATCTCGATGCACCAATTCTACACATCTACACTTGGTATAGCTGCTAACAAAGCAACCCAAGATCAACCAAGGGGTATTCATTGGTATATGATCGGGATTTGATGGATAGTGTCAACCATGTGATCCCATAGCATGTATCGTCTTCAACATTCATTCAACGGACTAACCCGAAATCCCAACATGCAACGCTTGTATTTGTGTAACTATTCCATGTAAATTAAAGATTGGATGGTGAGGATTGGGGCCTCGGGGTACTGATATCAGCCATTCCAAAATTAGCATCAAACGTATCTACCCCACTCCATTCAACACCTGCAATTCTAGGAGTTAAGGATTACAAGTTCAAATATTGAGCCTGTGAATGTATATTGGATTGCAAAAGAAAATAGTTTGTGCAAGTGCTTTTTTCAAAGCCTTTGGGAGTCGAGCATATTGAAGAGCTATAAAATTTGTAGAAGGATACAATCAGTCTTCCACATATCCGTAATGCTAACATCAGCATCTGAAAGAAGCCAATAATCTGCATCGTTCTGAAAACAAGAAATGAAAAATGATACGCCAATTTCAACTCTTTGCCAAAAGAAACGTACATATTTAACCATAAAAAATGAATTTTGAACCTAAAATTATAAATATCTTTTCCATTAACATCAGTTCATGTATCCATTCTCTATACAGCTGGCTACAGAAATAAATGGTCAAAAGAAGTGCACTTACATCAGTATTAGAAGGAACAATTTTCATCATTCCCCCAACAGGTTGTGAAGCATTAACATCAGAGCACATTTGATGAGTTTGAACTGCCTGTGGTTCAATTTCCTCTCTGGTGCCATTCACATTAACCAAATCAACTTGGTTTTCATTGGAGCCAGGGCTTGAAGCGAGTGAGAGACTTGCAGGTGGCTCAACATCATTCACCTCTTCAAACTTCTCAAATTGGCTGATGAAAAACAACAATTTGAAAAGAAAGACAAATGAGAAGGATGTCAAAACAAGAACCTTTGCTGACCATCAATTAGAGTTCATTTTGAAAGAAAGATGTTTATTAATCATGAACAGAGAAATAGCTTAGCATACAAAAGGGAGCAATACCTGACTAGGTAAACATCAATGGAACCCATTGTGCTTCTAAGGATCATCCTGTATCTCCTTTGTGGGTAGTCAACAGCCTGGAATATGGAGAAGCAATGCAATCATACATTCAAAACATTAAAGTAGAAAATGGTGCTAACTCATTAGAATTCCCTAGCCACCAGCTTACTTCATCAGGATCAGGTACTTCCAGAGTAGTTCCATGTGGAGCTTTAATTGCTATCAGGGTTTCATTCTGCCAAAAGCAACATGGAAAATTTAGCCATAGTGAAATCAAGATATTTTGGAGATCAGCATCAAGTGCAGAAAATTATTGCGAAGGAATAAATTTAATGAAACATGGAATCAACAGACCTGAAAACAAGGTAGAGCCTTGATGTCTTCTTCAGTCACAAAAAGCCACCTGAAAAGAAGAATTGAAGATGGGTAAATGTATTGTTGTTTGCAAGGAATTGTAATTAGCAACAATTAACTTGATCCCGGTGCAAACCAGAGGGGATAATATGCTTACCTCTGGTTGTTCTCATTCTCACTCAAATCCCTCAATCTTTCCTGCTTTTCTCTACAATATTTTATAAACATCAGAAATCCTAAACAGATTTGAGACAGTAAGAATGACTACTATTACAATAGAATAAGCAATGAATAACCTTATTTGATCATCTAATATGCGCTCTTTCATGGTAAGGTTTTCAATTTCTGCCTGCATACCAAATAGAAACTAATATCATATATAGGAAATAAAAAACAAAATTTGGTCAACCAGAGCAGATCAAGCATTCTCTTGAAACTCATAAACGAAAATAAAGAAACAGAGAAACAATCTCAAACAAAATAACAAGAAAAATTGTTGCCTGGGGATGTCAAGTTAAAAACAAAATCAATATTACTTCCACATACCTGTAATACAGATAGATCAATATCTGCTTCTCCAGGCCTTGAATCATCAACACCCCTAGTAAATTTGATTTAATTCTCAAATAAGTCCCACGTTCTTTGAATCACAAACCAAATTAAGATAACAAATTCTTGAAATTTTTTAACATCATTAATAATTACTTCCAACGTATTTTGTTTTTCAGCTTCTTTTCAATAAGACCAATGCCTTCCAAAACATTTGTTATGTCATATATCCTCCTCTTTTGCACCTGTTAAGAGGGGGGATACCAAAAAATTAAATAAATGAACAAATAAAAGAGCCATTTAAGTAATATGGCAAAACATTGAATGGTACGTAAGTTATCAAGTTCAGATAAATGTATCATTACCTCCAATGTTTCTGCAGCCTGATTTAAGTCAATGATCCCATCTTCAGCATGTTTTATGAGATTGACGAACTTTTTTGTCAAGAAACCTAAAAATTTCAATCACATTTCACCATTTATAAAAGCTTTAGGCATTGCCAAAATAACCCATATCTTTTTAAAACACACACACGCACACATTATTAAGGTTACCTAAAGAACTGTCATAGCGGCAGCTTCCAGCAGGAGTAAGAGGAGATGGAGAACCTGTCCATGTAATACATAATGTCAGAAGTTCTTGTCGCGTATTATATCTGTCTTTCTTAGCACATTACCGATTATTTGATTACCCATAATGATAATACAGTAATCAAAATCATATATACATCTTGGGACTGAAACATAAGTTTCCTTTATGGACTAAGCTCATAGCAAACAATCAAATGGGAAGATAATAAAGTGGATGAAAAGGAAAAATTTCTCACTAGCATTTGCCAAGGGTGTTTGTGGAGTAGACTTATTGGCCTTTGATCTATTATTTATCCTTCCTCCTTTGGCAGATACAGGTGTCCGTAATGGACTATTGGATATGCTGGTAATTGCTGGACTATTTGTCCATTGGCTGGATTCAGCTTCCTTGTTCTCCACTGTGCGTTTTCTTTTTAATGGCTGAGAGAAACTGGCAGTGTTTCAGAGTGTTGATAATGAAAGGAGAATTACAAGTTTATCTCAGAAGCTATGCATGTCTATATTTACACGAAAAGCAAATAAATGTATAAAATGGAGCCAAGAAAAATAAAAGAGCCTAAGTCTAACAAATGCAAATATAATTTGCCCATCAGCTTACTCTTAAGTGCTAACCATAAAAACCTTCCGAATCACGTTACTACTTTATTCAAAACAATTTTGCAAAGGCCAAAATTCACAGAGATCAGTGTCAAGAAATAATCATGCAAAAAAATAGTGATTCACTAGCACATAGGTTTTGGAGACACTAACGATTGTAATTTGAGGAAGGGAGAGTCATAAAAATGCCAACTTAATCATTTATCAAACAGCCATTAAAGTTGCAACATCCAAAGATTTACATACTTCAAGCTTTTTTCTCATAGGAATGTCACCTAATATTCTTCTTTTAACCCAACAATGAAGCACAAGCATAAGCTTCATCCCTGAGTGTAGCAGGTTTATTACATAAAACTAATATAATCACAAACCAAAATCTGATAGCTAGATATTGAATCTTTAGCATGTCGGCCAAAACTTATAGTGCTAAAAATAGTTTTTAAGGGCATTATAGTGTATAAACCATCAAGCATGGGCCGTTCGGAGATGCCTGCTTTTCAACTTAGTTCAGCAAAAGAGCACTTTACTCAACATCTCAACCCGATGCGTATTGTATTATCAAATACACCCACCAAAAACATAAATGCGCTGCGAACAGGTCACGTATTAAAATGTAAGCGTAACAATGTCACAGCAGCGTCAGATAATTATAATGATATTGATAATTTCAATTCCACTAAGTAAACAAGCCACCGTGGTCCGTGATAAGTTCTTGTTGTGAAAAGATGTTGAAAAAAAATAAATCCACAAGGTTACGTTCATATTATTGTACTTAAAAAGTTGCAATCAAGCAAAATCTAGCAATAAATATCAAATGAGAGTATAAGCAATACAAAAAAATACATATGTTGACAGTTGACTCACTACATCATAATCGTCATTTTTTAAGGAAACTGTGAAATATGTTTTGCGAAAATCACAAAGACTCACTGTAGATCTCACGACAATCGCTTCAACTTCTTGATCGGCGATGATTCCACGAGTATTATTAGCTGTGGTTAGATTGTTGTTACTGTTATTAGAGGAAAATCTATGATACTCATTGGGATGAACAAATGGCGGCTTCGTCGAGGCAAAAGCCAGGTGGCGGCGTATTGGCGGAACAACAGGATGAGCCGACGGAGCTGGTGCAGAAACGGCAGCAGTAGAAGGAGGAGGATGCGGCGGCGTGGGACGAGCAGAGGCTCGAGCCACAGCGGACATTGAGATTTAGAGTTTGGAGAAAGAACAAGGGAATTGCAGAGGGAGGGGAGAGTATAAATTCAGCTGGAGAAGATAGATTGTGAGGGTTAGCAAGAATTTGAGGGGAAGGGATGAAGAGGGAAAGGGTTAAAGCCTTACAAGGAGGGAAATAGAAGAAAAGAAATTTGAGACCACAAAGGTTTACTTTTTCCTTTTTTTTCTAATTTATATAATACATTGCTTTTAATGTTTCGATAAATTTAGATTTTGTTAAACAGAGAAAATAAATATCAATATTATTAGGCTCGAAGCCTAATTTTTATTAATATATTAGTAGTTTTATATTATATTCTTATGATTTTAAATTTACTAATATTTTATAATTTATTGTTGATAAATTTATATATAAGTTAAAACTAGGTAAAAGGGTTACTTTTGTCTCTGTAGTAGACACAATTTATCATTTTTACTCATATAGTATTTTCGCATCAATTTAACTCTTGGAGTTGTTCAATTGCATCATTTTATAACCTACCCATAACTTAAACCCTAAATTATAAACCTAAACCATAACTCTATTACCTCTAAACACTAATTTAGACAACTTTGAGAGTTAAATTGATGCGAAAATACGATAAAGACGAAAATGATAATTTTAGTTTACTACATAAGCAAATGTGACACTTAAGACCTAAAACTAATACCATTTAATTATCTTCTTTCACAAAGAAAAAAAGATTGTTTATATCAAATATATTTTTAAAAAATTGACTTAATATTTTTGTATTGATTAAGAACAAAATTTAATAAGAGTTATTCAATGTATAAAAGCTTTTAATGTCGGGGATATTCTTTTATCAGAAAAATTATTTTTTTAATAATTTATCAAAAAAAATCTATGCAAAATTTAAAATAAAACGGGTAATACAATTGAATTAATCTTCTAACTCTTTCAAAAGAAGTTTATGAAATGTTATTTAACTAACACAATTGTTTAAGTTTAATACAATCAAATCTTTATAAATTAATAGTATTAAAATCACGTAATTTTATTAATTTAAAAATTTATTAAATAATCGATAAATTAAGAATTTATTCATTAAAAGAGTTTTTTTTCTGATTTAACGAACCTATGTTATTCTTCATGAATAAAGCATATAACTAACTGAACAATGTGACTAATTAAATATAATACATACTCTTAATAAATATCAATCACCTATTGGAGGGTGTAAACGAGCCGAGTCGAGCTCGACTCGACTCGAAAACTTGCCAGCTTAAAATTTTTAAGCTCGACTCGAACTTGAAATCTTGAACTGAAGCTCGTGAGCAGTTCGAAAAGGCTCGAAAAGAAAAAAATATCTTAAACTTAACTTGATTGAAGCCTCAAATTCAACATGAAATCTTACTGTATTTTTTTTAAAAAAAAATCAATACATAAATATTAATATTATTAATAATTTTTTTTTAAAATAAAATTTTAATATATTTTTATTTTCGAGCTACTCATGAGCTTTTCGAGTCGAATATCGAGTAGCTCGTTTCGGCTCGTTAAGAACTCGAGTCGAGTCCATTCGATCTGAGTATTTATCGAGCCTTGATCGAGTCGATCTTAAGTAGCTCGTGATCTGTCTCGTCTCATTTACAGCCCTATTTGGATTATCCCAATGAAAATGATACATGTTTAGAAGTAAAAATTTTAGAAAAATTGTAGCTAGGGTTATTGAAAATCCTATCGAAGATAAAACTAAAGATATGGTGCATTTGCAACCAATTACACGGAAAGAAACACTCATAGAAATAACAATTCTTTAAAAAAAAATTGTTGTAGTATAAGAACACAACACCGAAACTTTTGGATGCAATGAGGAAAGTTAGAGATGAAATATAACTAGATTTAAATTTTAGGCTTAAGGGTCACTGTTGCCCCTATAGTAAACTCTATTTATCATTTTCGTCCATATTTTTTTGCATCAATTTAGCCCTTGAAATTGTCTATGGTGTTCATCCTAGCCCTCAAAGTATATTGACTATTTTTTTACTAATAGAAATGTGAGTCTTCTGAGTCTGTGGATTAAGGAATTAGGTTAAAATATTTATTAAACACATTGGTTAGAACAAAATCTCAAAATTTTATTATTTATTTAAGTGAGATTAAGAGATAGGTTAATTTTTTTGGGATTTTTTTAACTATTGTATTTAGTAAATATTTTAAATATTTTATTATATATTTTTTTAATAAATGTCACGCTATCATCAAGCCACACCATTAATATTTGGCTTATCTGAAAATTGCTAGTGTTGAAAAATGTAGAAGACTAATGGTTTTGTTTGTCAAAACGGACTTTGAGGGTTAGGATGAACATCATTGACAACTTCGAGAACTAAATTGATGCAGAAAAAAATAGGGGCGAAAATGATAAATTGAGTTTACTACAATGGCAACAGTGACATTTTCACCAAAACTTTAAAAAGTTTAAAAAGAAGCGAACAACAATATAATCATATTTTACTAAGTTCTCCTAATTATATTTGTAATTTTATAGAATTGTTAATTTATAATATTACAGAGACCATAAATTTATATAAGGATATTTTAGAAAATTATTATCTTATTAATTTATCGAAACTATTAACTTAGATCTTGGATTCAAGTCGGAACCGAAAAAAAATTAGTTTAGAAAGATTACTAATTTACCAAGTATTAATTTATAAAGGTTCTACTATAATTAAGATTTATCGAAAGAGAAATTATTTTATAGTCCCAACTCACCACGTCAACCATGGTCCCAGTGAATGAGAGCCACAAATTTTCAAATAACTGTCCACTCTTTATTAACACTTAAGAAAGAGGTGAAGATTCACCTTGGAAAAAAATAAGATGAAAAATTATCATTGGTTTTGATCATAGATAAAGTGGTGAGTCGGAACTATCTAATAGTTTTTCCCAAGAGTGGCCTATTGTCAAGGCATGGGTCATTACTAGTTTATTACGTAATTAGGCCTAACTAGAAGTATAAAACTCGAACTTATTAAGCATGTAAGTATTTCTAGTCATTTGTTTTCAACAAGATGTACTTTTTATGTTGAGTTTCACGGTCTTTTCCTTCGATTAACTTTGGATGATTCATCAACTTCTTTAACCATTCAGATCCAGCAAAGAAATGATTAGATATGATATCTTGAAGATTCAAAACATGAAAATAAACTTATGGACGAAAGATGAATTTGAAAATTTACTAAAACTCTATCAAATTTTGGTTTTGTTAGAACTTGTCATTTCTTAGTTTTCTTGAGCTTAATATGTAGTTTTTGTGATAAATAAGAAAAAGCTTATCTTTAATGGTCTTGAATAATTAAAGAATCTCTCAACAAGATTACTCTTTTATCATAGAACTCTAAACTTGAAATAGATGGAGAAGAAGAGAAATGGATAAAGGAAAATGAACAAGAGACAAGGGAACAAAAGAGGAGTACTGTATAAGAACTTAAGGGCTCGTTTGGTTTAAAAAATATTTTTTGTTTTTGTCTTCTGTTTTTATTTATTTTTTCATGTTTAGGATTTTGAAAATTTAAAAACATATCTAATTAATATAAATGAAGACTTGAATTAAAAATAGTTAAATTATAATCCTAGTATCTATTTTTTACATAGAGATAAAAATAGGTTATTTTCAAGATATATCACCGTTGAACAGAATATTTCCCGACCAGGCACCGTTCAGACTATATTTCCCGATCTAACACCCTTTGCAGAAAGACGCGGCGCCTGCAACGCGCTTTACGCTGATTTAGCGCCACGTGGGGTAAGGCGCCCCCTGTAGCGCGCCTTATGCTGACATGGTATACAGGTGTGTACAGGGGTATAGCGCGGTACAGGGGCCACGCCTTATCCCAGAATCTGCCACGCGTCAGTAAGGCGCGCCCCCTGCAGCGCGCCTTGGGTATAATTACCCACTTACCCCGACATGTCACACCCTCAATCTCTCCCTATAAATACACCCATCCTCAATCATTTTCATCACACCAAATTCTCTCAAATACTCTTATAATATTTGTCTAACGTATATTTTTAATATTTTTGTATTTAATTTATTTAATTAATTTTTTTTACATATATAAAATGGAAGACTGTCTACTTCGCTTGGATAGAAATCATATATCTCTACACTTTGCTGATACGGTAACATTTTAACGTTTTAATTTAATTTAAATTATTAGTAATTATTTGTTGATTTATTTAATGCATGATTATTAGATTAAGAATTAATTTTTGTAATTATTTAATTTTAGGATAAGGACCGTGTATTAGATCTATTTATTAGGAATCTTAAGTTAGTGACACCTAGCCGTGTCTTGCCATATTTAGTATAGGTTGGATTCGGTTACATGGGTAGATATCAGGGTCACTGTAAGATAGAACCAGACCTTATTTCTGCCTTAGTAGAGCGGTGGAGGCCGGAGACCCACACATTCCATCTTCCGTGCGGAGAGTGCACGATTACACTTGAGGATGTTGCTATGCACCTGGGGCTTCCGGTGGATGGAGATGTGATATCGGGGATCGCGCAGGGTTCCTGGACTGCTGCTTTGTGTCGGGATAATCTAGGACGTGTCCCAGAAAGTTTTAACGGTGGTCGGATACCGTTAAATTGGTTATATGCCAATTTTCGGGAGTTGAGCGAGGACGCGTCAGATGATGAAGTTAAAATGTATGCACAGGCATGCATACTGCAGCTAATAGGAGGGTTGTTGATGCCGGACAAATCGCACAACCAAGTTCACTGTATGTGGTTGCGACATCTTGTCGACTTTCGTCTGGCCGGATCACTCAGTTGGGGCTCGACAGTTTTGGCTTTATTGTACAAGGAGATATGTCGAGCCACTGACTACATGAGAAATGATATCGGCGGATGTCTCATCCTGCTGCAGTATTGGGCATGGTATCGATTGTCATTTTTATGTCTCGTTGTGAAGAACTCATTTGTATTTCCGCTACTCTTGAGGTAATTATAAAAATGATTTCGTGTATTAATCATTTTATATAGTGTATAATATTTTTTTCTTGAATAGGTGGTCTACTTATAGGAAAAATCATCAGGAGCTACCTGATGATTTAGAAAAAATTATGGTGCTCATTGATCAGAAGGCTGACACACAAATATGAATTTAAATGTTT